TAACAGGCAAATCTGGCCAATCTCAAGCCCTCCATCTTCCCTCCAGAATTTCCCTGCCAGCTTTCACAGGTAGCTTAACATACATATGCATTACCTATTGAGGAAAGAAGAATATAGGAAGGTTATCCTAATAAGGGAGAGAAAGAATATTGTAAAGTTTTTGGCCCTTGACAAGAATGGACATCACGAGATGTTGAAGCACACATGAAAAATCATTAACCGCTGTGAGATTTTTCATTGTGAAGAGTAAAAAGACCAGCATTTGATTTTGCACAAATTTATCCAACAAATATATTGTATTTTGCAAAACAAACAAGCAAACAAACAAACTACCTAAATGTTTACAACACATTTTGCAAACACACTTTTTTTTGTTAAACAAAATGTTTGCAAAAATTCTAAATGATAAATGATAAAAATCACTTTAAAATTTCCTCAGATTCTTATAATCTCAACCTTCTAGGAAAATATTTTTGGAACTTTTCATTCTGATCTGTGAAAACAAAATAAATAAATATATGTTGAGTGTCCCTTTCCCAGAATTCTGAAATGTGAAATACTCCAAAAACCAAAACGCTTTTCATAGGTGGCTGAGATAGTGACACCTTTTATTTCTGATGTTTCAGTGTACACAAACTTTGTTTTGTGCACAAAATTTTTAATAAGTACCATGTATGCTATTTTGTGCTCACTAGAAGAAAGGAAATTTTTATCAGAGCAATGGAATTTCCACCCAGGAGCTGGGGCAAGCTATAGATTATGATTGTCCTCACAGGTACATTTGCAGGAAGAAATGCATCCTCCGCAATGTAACAGTTTGGCCATATGCATGCTGTCAGTCTGTGCACATACTGTAAAATTGGAATGGCATAGTAGACTCAGGTAATCTACTAGCTTTAATCAGAGTGAAAATTTTAAAAGCCAGATCTGTTTTTAAGGACTGAGTTTCCATGCTTCACACACTCCTATAAAGGGTCTAAGTGAAATTACACCACCACCTCCGACTCACAGATTAGTCTACTGCTTGAGAAAACACATCAGCAACAGCAAGTACTCTGCAAGTACTCTCACATAAGTTTATATGGCATATGGTACATGTCAATGTATGACATGGCAAGCTGCCGTATGGCATCAAATTTTACAATGTTATGCTCAACTCTTTGGGAGAAAGACGAATTCAGTAACCACCAAAAGACCAAGACATCATATCAGTGACTAAAATCCTAACCCCAGAGATGCTGTGCCTGTTGAAGCTAAAGTCCCAATTCAAGAGAAATTACCACCTTTAAACTACCCAGTCACACTGACCTACTCCTCATTTTTATTTTAAATAAATAGAAGGTGCAAAATATAGCACCCAAGGAGTTTATTTTATTTTATCCTGACAAATACCCCTGTGTAGCAGGATAGTCACCAAAGAGGGACTAGCTGAAGGCTACCCATGTCTCACTGAGGCCTTAAATCTCCACTATCCTTCATGATGATTTCATTTAAAGTTGTCTGTTGAACAGTATTTTGTCTTAGCAGCAGCCAGCATAGTCCTAATACAGATTACACTGTGATGTTAAATCTGGATACTTTTGGAAGAAATGGCATATGCTAATTATTGGCAGCAATTTTCCTTTTCTCAAGGGAACTAATGGGAAAGCACATTAGTTCCATATTAGGAGACTTGTAGAAAGCAACCTCTGATTCCTTTAAATGAAAAGGCTATTGAGAAAGGGCATTTGACAGTGGTGTATGGCCATTCAGTACTCTTCCAGTGAAGAATAGCTACCAAAGGAGATTAATTGGGCTGTTTAACTGGGTTTTATTTTGTAATGCTAATGTACAAGGTAGCTGGAACAACATGGTTAATCACATTCAGTCTTCAGTGGGTGGCCATGTCTTATCCTTGTGTCTAATGACCCCCTTCTGCCCTTACACCCTTGAAAAAACTCAAATCAAGGTAACAGCAAGATCTTCTTTAAAACATGGACATTTTTAGAGACAGAGGGTGCATCTATACTGTAGAAATAATACAGTTTGACGACACTTTAACTGCTATAGGTCCATCCTGTGTAATCCTGGGATAGGCAGCTTTACAAGATCTTTAGTGTTCTCTGACAAAGAGTGCTGGTGCCTCACAAAACCACAAATCCCAGGATTCTGTGGGATGGAGCCATGCCAGTTAGAGTGATGTACAACTGTATTATTTCTACATTTTAGATGCACCCAGAGACAAGACATCACCCTTTTAACAAAATTACTGGCCCATAAAAACTACAAGAATGTTTTACACCCCATGACATCTGTTTGTGAATAAGTAGGTACCTAGGAGTATTCAGGGAATTGTTCTGATGTTCACACTCTTCCAGTCACATTTCTGCCTCTTGAGTGCCTCTGAAACAGGGATAAGCAACATTCAGCCCAGAGGCTGTGTGGGCCCAGAGGCACTCTGTGTGTGTTTTGTGTGTCATAACCGTTAAAATATCAGCTTTCAGTAAAAGAGAGAAAAATATTTCTGGCCTTTGTAGATGCAAAGATAACCTTCAAAAGATGGTAGCAGGCAATTTGGAAGGCTTAGTAAATTGAAATGCATTCCATTTTCACATCTCAGACTGACTATGCAGCTCTTAATTTTATAGAGCAGAATGCTGAATTTGAACATTTAGGGTTCACTGTGCCAGCAGTCATCATTGTAGCTAGCTGGAAGCATCAGATGATTGCAGCCATTTTCATATATGGCTTGCAACCATTTTCATATAAATATTGTGTAAAATGAGGATGATTCCCCACAAACAAAGTACATGAGATGCATCAGCAGCAGATCCATAACTGATGGCTAAAAGAACATCAGGCAAGCATTTAACCTGTGCTCCACCACTTAGCTCTAGACAAAAGTAGCAGGGAATGCAGAGAGATTAAATACAACAGGTAGCTGGCCAGATATTCATGGGTCTTTGCATCAAGAGCAGACAGGTCTGTTTACCAATTTTATTGTTGTTGTTGTTGTTGTTGTGTGCTTTCAAGTCAATGCTAAGGCAAACCTATCATGGAGTTTTCTTGGCAAGGGTTTGCCAGTGCCTTCCTCTATGGCTAAGGAAGTATCACTTGTCCAGCATCATCCAGTGGGTTTCCATGGCCAAGTGAGGATTTGAATCCTGATCTCCAGAGTTCTAGTCCAACACCCAAACCACAACAGCATGGTAGCTCTAGAAACAATATTATACCAATATTAAATTAACTATTGACACAGGTGGTTATGTACATATACAAAGAGGTATATTACTATAAGGGGTGGGGGCATAAAGGGCTCAGCTTGAAAGCTTGTATTTTGATTTAAATAAAAAAAAGACAACAGGAAATGGAATGGGCTGACAAGCAAGTTATAAAGATACAGGAGGAGGAGCAAGACAAGGAAAACTTGAGACAGAAGATGTGCCTCAGCACATTTTAAAGACATAACAGCAGCAAAATGAAAAGAGAATAAAAAATGATACGAGATAGGGCAAGAGAATACTCGTAAGTTTTAAAAAGAAACATGTTCCAGAAGAACCTGCAGCTGAAGAAGAACAGAAGACAGATAAAGTAAAAGTGAATGCAAAAGTAAGGCACAGGATTACAAATGAAGCATGGAAATATTTGGAAACCAATGGATCTGTGAAATGAAGTAGTGTCCTGCTGAGGGGGCCAAGTAATACCCTCCTATAAAAAGCTTCAAATTCAAGCTTCCTCATTAGTCTCAGCAATTAGAAGGTCTGGCCTTGTACATAAGTTGCCTCGCTCTTGGCTGCAGAACAGCTAGGTGTAAGACCTACTCATTGTGTGTTTCCAGTTTGATTCCTGATGTTGAAAGTCTTGCTGGTTCTGCCATGAACAGTGGAGACACACCAGCTGTAGGAGAACAATATAAATAAGAGAGGGGGTAAGGTAACTACTTAGGCCAGGATAGCCATAAATACCAACTTTTGACATTTTGGCTTTAATTACATTTTCCCAGTTCCATTTACTATATAAAAGGAAAAACCAAGCACAGGGATGTGCTTCATTGGATTACCTACTGTTCAAAAAGTATCCCATTACCCTACTTTCACATTCTCTGGGACCAAGGCAGCAATTATACTTTGTGTGAAGATATCTCTCCCTGTTTTTGTGAAAAAGCCCTGAAGAATGATCATTAGAGGTATGGTTCTTGCGCAAAGTAGTTGTCAAAGCCCCAGATCTCATTAAAAGCTTTGAAGAAAAGTCTCCTTAGAAGATGTGCCTCACTACAGAGTGAACTAAACTTGTGAATAGGGAGAATGGGTTTTGAAAAGAAAAATTATCAGTATCTAAGCCAATAAAACTGAGACTTTGCCATACATTTTTCCATGACTCCAGAAATGCTCTACTTCTGTGTTATAAAAACTAAGCCAGAATGATCCATCTAACTTCTCCATGGCTTAAATGGATGAGCATTTACAACCCCCCCCCCCAAAAAATGCAGAAAATAATCTGTAAAGATAAGAAACATTAAGCACACTGAGAAAGCTTTTACTGACCAGAGAGGTAGGTAGAGTTACAGCAATCAGTTTGAGTAATACAAGAATGTCAAGAGGAGCTTAATGGCCTTGACTGCATCAGTATATTTAAAAAGCTCCATCTCCCACTGATTCCCCTAGACAGCAGAAGGGAGTGGACTCCAACTAAAAGCTGCCATATATGAGCTGGACAAAGACAAAGACATTGTACACTACTTATATCTCTCATAGTTTAGGTTTATGAAAGAAGCACACACATACATGCTCACACAATCATCTATTTCCTATATTCAGAGTTACACACAGGAAGGTGGCTATGTGTGTATGTGTTGTGATCATACACATCAGAGATGGGGGGGTATTTGTCAGTTTCTCTTTCTCCCACAGATAAATTTCTAAAAGAAAATTCCTCTTTGAACACAAAGACAAACGTGGATTTTGGTAACTATCAAAGCTGCTACAAAATGAACTTTTCACTCACCTACATTGACTAGCAGGGCCGGTGTGGTGTAATGGTTTGAGTGTCGGATTACAACCCTGGAGGCCAGGGTTCGAACCCCTACTTCAGCAAGTGATACTCTTTCAGCCTCAGAGGAAAGCAACAGCAAACCACTCTGAACAAATCTTGCCATGAAAATCCTGTGATAAATTCACCTTGGGGTCCCCTAAGTCCAAAATGATGCAAAGGCAGAAAACAAACAATGCTAACCAGTCAGTATGGAGAGGACATTATTGTACTTGTCAACCAACATAAGGGGGGAAAGAAAGGAAAGTTTGTGTGGACAGACTGGATGCATGTATCTGGTTGTCATGCAAGGGACATGGTCAACAGGACACACAGACAAACGTTACTCCAAGAGCCCCCCTCCTAGCATGGCAGGAAGTGATGTGCAGGACTTATGCACACCTGTACAGAGAGGTCACAAAAAGCTAGCATACATGTGACAGAATGCATTTATTGTCATAACAGAGAACAGTTTCTAGGGCGCATGCATAGGGTTACAATTAGGGTTAGTGTTCTAATATTAAAGTGCACCTGCGCCAGTGCATTGACACCTGGAACCATAGGGTGCTTTAAATTAAACCCTGCATCATAGGGCACATGCTCTGGATCACCAACTCAATTTCCACTGCACGTGCGGTGGTGCATTTATTCGGCTGTTTTAGATATCTGGCACCCTTTTTCTGGTGCACCAGTGCTGCTGCATACATATGCACACGTGAAGGTGCACATCTTTCCCAGCATACAACGCCTAGAGGGCGCTTTCCTGCCAGCTTTTAACATGCGTCGTCTAAATGCCACACCTTCAAGTCAGCCTCAAAGCATCTCTTTTTGCCCGTCTACATAGCCCCTATGTCAACATAGCTACCCTGTAAAAAATACTGCCCTCTACTGCTAAAATGGACTCACATAATGAAATCCTCCCATATTTCTTGTGTATGTCGGCATATTATGTGTGTTTGTTATCAATTTCAGCAAGCGAATGCTTCTACTTATAAGTTGCTTTTGTATAACAATCAGGTTTATTACTCTTTTAATGTCTATGTGTTCTTTGATAGCAAAGAAGTAGAAGCATAATAAAAACTTTTCATAACAGTTGATTAGTAAATACAGCCTGCAGAAAGTCTAGCTCTCATTGCATTTCACACATTAAAAATCCAAATGCACTGGGAGAGCTGGGATTTTAACCCCCCACAGCTTTAACACAAAGAAACACATTAATAAGATACAATTTAGATTTGCATTTTTTAATAAGCAAGGGGATCAAAGAACTAGAACACTGAAGGCGTGCAACACTACTGTGAATTGAAACTTCACGGCATAACAGGTATTAAGATACATAATTGTACTAAAATAAAATTGGCATTATTTGAGAGCATACTCTTTCTGTATTGTTACTGAAGGTACAATGACCCAGTAAAACAGAAAGTGGAGATGAGGTGGTACAGTTTAAAGACCAAAGGAGGTAAGTGGGTGAGAAGTAAGAAATCTTCCCTTCTTCAACCATATTATGTCTTTGCTGCCTTTTTCTTCTTGCTTAGTAGCCACTATCAGAGCCCAGCTCAGAGGAAAATCAGAGCAGAGCATACTAGGAGACAGTATGGCTTAGCACCCTTCATCCACCTGTTGCTGTTTTATTGGGGGGGGGTGCATCTATTTCCTACCTAATTTGGCATCATGACTTAATAGTCAGACACAACCGTCCCCCTTACTAGGAACAGATGAAAAGGGGGAAAGTGTTGGAGGACAGGAACCAGAGGTAGCCTCAACTGTATCCTCCTTATCCCACACATGGAGAATCTCAGGGGCTGATGCTAAGATTTTTCACTTGAGGAACTCACCCTGATTCTCTCTCTGATCTGAGGAGTCAGTGGGGAGTATGGGAGTACATGCTGTGTGAAGGGTTTAAGAAGACTTATAAGATGACCCCCATGTGCATTTTTCTAACAGAATACAGTATCTGCTGGGGTTTGGTTCCAGGACCCCCCATGGATACCAAAATCTGTGGCTGCTCAAGTCCCACTAAATACAATGGACATAATGTGTGTTCTTTGTATAAAATGGCAAAATCAAGACTTGCATTTTGGAATGTATGCATTTTAAAAATGTTAAAATGTTTAAAATAAAATAACACACACACATGGATTTCTACTTATATGAGACCCTAAAATAACATGAGACCCTAAAATGCACCTTACTTAGCTTGTGTATAAATCTAGCCCTCAAGGCATGTTTCTGATTTCCAGCCCATCCAGGGCTTGCACAGCTCTCCCCAGCTCTGCTAGAGCCAGCACTTTCAATGAGGAACATGACATATCCTCTTTCAGTTGTTTTGGAGATTACTTAGAAAGGGGTATTGCTCAAGACTGCAGGACAACTAGAATCCACAAATGGTCCCAGATGTTTCCTATAGTAGAAACAGTCCAAGCCTGCTGTTTTCTTGAATCTTGAATCCCTGCCAGCTGCACAGAGAGCTGACCCTGGTCCTGATCACATGTGACTAGTTCAGACACCTGCCAAACTTAATCACCTTCTCTCTGCCTCAGCTTCAAAGTGTATAAATAGGCAGAACTGGGTTTTAAAATCACTGATCTGCTGCTACTGGGTAGTTTTCAACCACTCGGGTATAAAAAAAGGGGCAAAAAAAACAGCCTCCCTGTCAACTCACATTTACTGATAAGAATGCACATTAATTTCAGTATAAAACAATTCTCCCTGAAAAGTAGATATATTAAATGAATATATGTTCATATCATTGTTTAAATAGGAGCTAGTTTAATGAGTGTCAGTATTATTACATATCCCCTGATATTCAGTGACAGTCCCTGATCTTTTCCTGCCTGGACATCTACCATGGAGTACAAGCTCTATAGACAGCAAAGCTACCACCTTCATGTTCTGTATAGTTCAACAAATCCTACTGACATTAAATATATGTAACAGCGGCAGCAGCACTGCTGACCTGACCCTTTTTTGTCTGCATCTTTAATTCATTCAGACAAGCAAGACAATAAGATGTTGAATTATTCTAAATAGTATATCTGGCACACAAATCGACATAATTTATTTGCACTTATAGTTTCATTCATGTTCTAGTGATTAAATATGATTCTCTCAGCAAGTGTAGAGAAGGGCCAGCAAACAGTGGAAGGTTTATAGACATACATCTTCCTTTGCAATATGCCATCAACATCTGGAACTATAATTCATAGTACAGTAACTACTATCCACACAATTGCAAACTGAAATATCCAGCTACCACTAACAGAGCTATCAAAGAGCCACCATCAAGGTAGGAGAGGTAATGGAAAGTACTACAGGGAATGACAGCATGAGCTACAATTCAGAGACATGTGAAGAAGTAGACAAAGTCTACAAAAGCTTATGCTACAACTTATTCCCACAGTTAGTCTCAAAGGTACTACAAGATCCCTTGGCAGCATTAGCTACAGTAATGTTATATGAACTACAATAAGCCATTGCATCAAACTGTGGTTAAGGAAGCATAACTATAATTTGACACTGGCCAGAATCCAATGGTGTACATGTACTGATGGAAGAAGCTCTGTCAACAGTAGTAATTCCCTCACCCCATTCACTTCCCCATGTACCTGCAACAGATTTTTTTTAATTGAATAACTTGTTGTTTAAACAGGAGTTAAGCAAAACATTTTTCTTCATCTTGCTCCTTCTCCCCTTTTCCCTCTCTGCCACCAAATCTTTTTTCTGGGAGTCTCCTAGCTCTTCAGAAAAGATACTGAGGATGCCAGGGAGGGAGTAATCTTCACCTGCTGGCTCCAGTGACAAAGCCAGCAGATGCATACCACTGTATCCCTGTCAAGATATGTCAATGTGTGGGGAGAAACAAGTTTGTCACTGGCCAGCAAACAAGAATTAAGCATTATTGGTTTTCAAGCCATGGTTCTCATTAAACATGGTACAACATGATGTCTGAACTGCTTTTTGGCCACTGCACTGAATCCAGAGGGTGGAATTAATGAGCAGAGATGAAAGCACAGAAACATATTAAAGCATGGCTCACCTGACTGCTTGGAAGCTCAGACCATGATTTGGGCTCCATGGTAGGATTATTTTAAATCAAGATCTGGCATGATGTTTGATTGTAGACGAAAAGTATTTGAGATTTACTCATAATATACTTTATTTCGTCTATCCAGTGTCTGATGTTGGTCTAAGACTCTGGAGCTCAGGATTCAGTTCCCAGTTCAGACATGAAACCCACTGGGTGATTTTGGGCAAGTCACATGCTCTCAGCCTCGGAAGAAGGCAATGGCAAGCCTTCATTGAACAAATCCTGCCAAGAAAACCCCATGATAGGGCCTTAGGGTTGTCATAAGTTGGAAATGATTTGGAGGCACACAATACTAATGTTTATATTGAGGGAAAAATAAAGTGGATGCTTCCTCAATTCATAAAGAACATTTTCAGAAGATGCAAAGATCTGTAACAATTTAATGAGAGACCTGAAGCTGTATTATTGTTGTTAAATAACAGTTTCTATTTCTCACCCTATCTTGTTTCAGCAACATAAATGGCCACTTTGACTCACTGGTGGTAACTCAGCAATTATGTGTTGTGACACACCTGATATGTGTAGAAACCTTCAAAGGAAATAACGTGTCTTGTTGCAAAACAGTTGAAGTTTCTTCTACTGACCTAAAGAATTTCAGAGGGCTAGGAGACCCATCTTTACCAATGTAAAGTTCCTTGTTTCAGTAGAAGGCTCTTTGGGGATTTGAGATACACCTTTCCCATATGATTTTGGTACTTTGCGTTTTCTTAGAGAACTGGCACTTATGACATATTTGAGTATTCAATGTTTGTCAGTCCCTGCATGTGTAACCTACTAATGCCAAATATACCCCTGGAAGAATAAGAACCTTCAGGCAGGAAACCTATCCTGCCATGTGAGAAAACACAAAGAGAAACTAGAACTGCCTACCCAGTCTTTTGTTACTCATTCAAACAAACCTTAAGAATGAGATTTGCCAGTACCTGTTCTAGAAGTCATCTCGTGTAACTGGCCTCCTATAGCCCTGTTCTGAGA